ATCGGGCGTTTTCCTTTCCGAATAAAAAAAAAAGCAATCTGAGCAAAAAGGAACGAATGAATAAAAGGAAGCATGGGAACATTGATATATTTTTTTCTTTTTTTCCGTCGCAGTAGTATGTGTAAAATAGACCCCGTATGTTTTCATCGTTATGACACGAAATGCACGAAAATGTTTGTTTTCTTTTATCTGTCTACGTGTAACAAGTTTTCCTCTACATTTATACGCTTCATACGTTTGAACGGTGATACAAACCCGGTTTTAAATATGTATAGGCTTGAATTAAAACATATATACATATATACTCATATGTTGAAAGAGAACGAAAAAAAAAAAGAAAAGAAAACATGTTGAGAGTGTTGAACAGTGTTGAATATATAGTACGTTCATTGAGCAGCTATTTGAAACTGTTTGGATCGTATATTCTTTTTCTCTGCTATTCAGAATTCTACATACTTGACTTTTGATACGTGGGTAGAATGTGATGTAGTCGTTGACGTCGTCATTGCTGCTGTTGCTGCCGTTGCCTCTCTCTCTCTCTTGCTCTCTCTCTCTAGATTTTAAAAGAAGAAAAAAATATATATACTGAATCAATGTGTTGATTTTGCGTCGTTATTTGATTTCATTTTTGATATTTTCAAATTCGAACATGATTCAGTACCGAAAAAACGACGTCAGGCATTCGAAAATCTCGCCAAGAATTTATAACATGAAATTATGAATCAAAACAGTTTTGCTCAAAAATCACCAATGCAATGGTATTTTCATTCATCATTCACTTAAGTATTTATATGTTTTCTCTTTCTCTCTCTCTCTATGGTTTCTTTAAACCGTTTCTGTGAATGTTTCGCATCATCAGAACGTCGCACATGTGCACTGAAAGATCGATTTAATTGAGCAGCCTCAGCATTCACTGACATTTTCGTTCTTTCCTTTTCATCGCTTGAATAAGCATTAAAATCTCATCGTAAAGCGCATGAGAAGGTGTATGGAATGGTGAAGTGTGCGATAGAGATGGATAGCGCACCAAAGAGATGCACTTTCTAGAACATTCTATCCACCCGCTGGTTTGACTACCTGATCAACAAAGCCGCATCAAACCAAATATATCGACAATATTTTATCTATGGTATAATCGTAAAAAAAACGTAAAGAATTATTTTGAACTCTCAACAACCAAACGTTTAGTAGACAAAAGTTGAATAGAGTAATAGGTATGCAGTCAGGAGAACACATGAATAAAAAAAAAAACGAAAACACTGAGAAAAAAACACAAGGAAGAAAAACTGGGTACCGTAAACACATTGAAATCGAATCTTTCAAAAAAAATGAACACAGAGAGAAAAGATAACACAACAACAACAAAAAATAAATAGTTTTGTGTATGGAGAGACTGCACATCTGTTCATTTTAAATTCTAAATATTCTATTCATTTATATATTTAGCTGGTACGCATCACAAATACACATTATATCATGAATATGCCCACAATGAAACGACAAAAGTCGAATCTAAATTAAACGATATGACACAACGAACATCATCCATCCGTTCGCAGTCTCGGAAAATTAATGCAATATCACAATAGCGGAAACGGCAATGCCATCACAGTTTGAATGAACAAAATTCTACCAACAAAAACACAAAAAATCAACAATAATAATAATCGGGAGAGGGAGAGAGAGAGATATAGTGACAGAGAGAGAGAGAGAGCCAGAGAAAAAGGGAACAAACACTTTACCAAGGGTCACTATAGGACTGGACTAACAATTATTCAGCATTGATATATGGATAATAGTATAGCATCATTTTCCATTTGTCACAATAGTAGATCCCATTTATTGATTTTTGAGTAGAAAAAATGCTCATACTCTCGCTTATCTTTTCCAAGTGTTTCTCTTCTCATTATTGAGAAAGTTTTGAAAAGTCAACAAATGATTTTTCATTTGAGTGGTGTGCAATGTTTTTTCTTCTCCATTTTTTTTACTCAGCATCTGTTTATATCAGTAGTATGTTCTTCTCGTTTCTCAAACTTAGATTTCAACTTATCTTTTAATGGGTTGAATATATTTAGAAATTAGATCGTGATCGTGCATTTATGATTTGGTGCAAAATCTGTTTTCAACACAAATAACTCTTTCTTTATTGAAAGCATATTTCGAATAATGAGACAAAGATCAAATAAAAAGATTGAATAATAAAAAAAGATCGAAAAATTAAAAGTTACATTTATTTTTTTAATAAACATAGTTAATTCAGACTTTAGTCATCGCATTGGCCATTCAGATTAAATAGTGAATATGCTCTTTTTCGTTCGATTACGTTGTGCAAAAGACATTTTTATGTATTAACTTTGAAAAGGATTTGCAAGAAAAGAAATAAATTTGTTCAAAGGAACCATTTCGTGGGCGTCATTAGTGATACCACAGTTGTGTGTGTGATAAATATAGAGTGCATTTAAGAAAAAAAATATGTACGCACATGCTTGCCTGCAGTCACATTCGATCCAGCATATGTGAAAGTGTTCACTTTTAATATTTTCTGAGCATTTTTTTTGTTTCGCAAAAGATTCAAATGTATTAGGATTAAAGTGATCGTTGAAAATATACTTGTATGTACGTTATCTTTTTATTTTCAACCGGCAGTATTAACTAATTGTAACCCAACAACGTTTGCATACAAATTTAAAAGTAATGGAAAAAAGTTGAGTGGAAAATTTGATGTGATGCATTTGATTATGGTGAAATTGGTTGATTTCGTTGGATATTCAATTGACAGAAAGTAAAATAGTGTTCGTAGTGTAATTGCAGGCTGTTAAAGTTTCTGTCAAACTACAGTGTACAAGAAGAAGACAAAAAAGAAGAAGAATAAAAAAGCAAACAATACAGGAAAATAAAAAAGTGCTTGTGCTATCGATTGATGAAAATGGTGCCTGTGAATTTCGAACGAAATGTTCATTGTGAATCATTGAGCATTCATCCTAAAATATCACTTCAACTTTGTGGCCATTCATTCTTAATCACATGATAAACATATTTTTCATTTACGAGAAGAACAAAAAATATTAAACCATTGGATAGCAATGAGATAGAATAAAATTGAAAGTAAAGGCAATATATTCCGTTTAAAGCGATTAAAACATCGCTACTGTTCTATTCCATCCGAATTGCGACAAAAAGAAAACTACAAAAAGTGAAAAAATAAAATAAAATTACTGAGTAATGAGTTGTGTGTGTCAAAAATATCTATGAAACTGAAAGTAACAATGTCCTTTCAAATAAATTCGAAAAACAACACTTCATAAAAGAGAAGAACAGATCACAACACATAAAAAATATATATATTATGAAACGTCGAACATTTTCGTATGTGTATAGAATATGAAGCGAAGCAATGACAAAAAAATGCCTGAAAATTTCGAAGAATAGAGGTATGAACATATTTTATACACGCGTACATCACTGCAAAAAAAAAACCAACATAAAAAAAGTTGAATAACAGCAAACACAGAGCAAATTGTGTAGCGCAATGCACGAAAGCAGATCCTTTCTCATATGGACGCTCTTTTGTTCTCTTTTCCTCTAACACGTAAATCATTGTGTTCGCTCTTCGCTTCATGATTTGCGTAAGCAAAGAAGAAAAAGAAGAAGAAGCAGAGAGTAAAGAAACAAAAAACAACGAGCCCGATGCGCTTGCCAGTGTGTGGTATTTGAGTGAGCTCGTACGCTATTATTAGCAATTCATTCATACGAAGTAAACCATCAATCACAACGTAAAATATGGTTAAACATAAAAACTCTTTTCGTTCTTCGACGCAAGCCCAATCAGTGCAATAATCAAAATCAAACTGCGAGGAATGCATCAAAATTCTTCTTTTTTGGTATATTTTTTTTTACTTTCAAATTTACTACCATTAATGCAGTCGATTCAAGCTACAACACATATGTGCACTGTATACCGTGCATTTTTGTACTTCTTGGAAAGATAAAAAAAGCATACACCATATTATTTTGACATTTTGCACAGCATTGCGGTTCGTTAAGCCAATCGACATGATAAAGTCACATTTTTTTCGCAGTCATTCGTAAAGAGAAAAAAAGAAAAACAAACGGCGATAAAAAAATTTTTTTTAGCTATGCATATCATATTCAAATGCATTTTATTCGTCATTTGGTGATAAGATAAATGCAGTATAAAAAATGTCTTCTTTGAAACAAAAAAAAAAAATAAACAGAAAAAGTTTGTTTACGATGAATGACAAAGATATAATTGAGAACATTAAGAAGGTTCCCTATTTAACTCTTCTGTGTTTATGAATTGCATTATAAAGTCTTTTTCTTTATTTATGTTTTGAAAGTAAAATTAAACAAAATGTAAAACATTGAGTATTTCTCGCCTTGTTGCTTTCAGCATTTCTATCGTTTTGCAATGACCATAGCTTCTGGAGTCGGCGATCCAAGGGGGGGTAATTTGGTCTCGCACAAATGCATTTCTGAATAGTTCATTCCCCCAGAAAATTGAAAGATTTTTCTCTTCGCCCAAAAAACCCTAGCAAAATTCAATATTTTCTCCCGTTTTAGAAGAAGAGCAAAAAAAAAGGTCTTCACATTTCGAAAGAATATTTTTCTCAAAAAAATGAAATTTCTAAGGGGGTAATTCCCAAATCTGTTCTCCAGGGGGGGGGGGGGGTAATCCAACCCCTCGGACCCTTGCTCAGAAGCTATGCCAATGACAGACATAAACATAAATGGATGCATGAAACGTATTTTAATTTATCACACAAAATATTTCATACAATCGCAACATCATTTGTTTACTATGTTGTGTTGTACAACCGGACAAATATCTTATTTTGTAAATATTAAGAGATATCATTTGAAACGTAATCCTTTTTTTTGTTTCCTGAACATTATTTTCATATCGATCGGCATTTAATACTATAGAAATACATTTAAAGTTATATGCTAATGATTACAATTATTCATTTCTTTATTTACAGAAAGCGCTTACCATGACGAATTTTCAACTAGGATAACAATTAGAATAATCAAAAATCGAATTGAAATTCACAATTTAAGCAGAAAAACGAAATCGAATTAAATCAAAGAACACAAATAAAAAACGACGAAAAATTGCGAAAAACGGTTTCGCTAAATTAACTTTGAACCGAATTAAAACATAACGATAAAAAATTTGGGGCACATCGGACACTGACTGACGCACGGAAATTTCTATTTATTTTCGTTTATTTCGGTCAACTTATATAGACTCGGTCAATAAATATTAGACTCACACATTTATCAAAAATGATAGATTTTTTGGTATGGTGATTTCCATTAGCATGGTAAATACCATAAAATGGTAAATTCCATAAAATGGCAAAGCATCATTCAAATCCACCACCAAGACCACCAAAACCACCAAAATCGAATTCGATACGAATGTCAGAGCCGCCAATGTCAGAGCCGCAAGCATCAAAAGAAGCTGAAACTGAAACGACCCTTCCGCCTTTACAACCGAGACAAGTTCATCAAATACCTCCACCATTGCCACCAGGTAATTTAATACATTTTAAATCCATTTAGCTTTTATCATTAACGCTTTATCTTCCACCTCATATGCATATTACATTTCATATACAGTTCATTAACCCTCTTCGTGCCTTTTCGAAAAATGTCTAAAATCAGACGTTATACAAATTATTTTGACTATGCGTTTTTTGAGATACAGAAAAAATCACACCTGCAATAAAATGTGTACCAGAGGGTTAGAGTGCAATTAAAAAATCAATATTTGAAATGGTTATAATAATCGAAATTTTAAATAGCACTTGAGTTGTGAATTCACTAACAAAACATTTCATTCGCGTTGTGGTTTCTGCAGACATTTACTTTCAAATGTTTATTTAATTTTCATTGATGATTTTTCATTTTCACAGTGACGCAACAAGTAGGAACATTCGCAGTATTCTCAGGACAACATACACATTCTCTTTCACCTCCGTTGGCACAGCAACCAATTCAGCACGATCAAACGCAAATAAACACCAACAGGTACAGTGCCAATTTTCTACTTAATCACATTATTGTTCAATATTAACTAAGCTTAGTGCTTAGCGCACCTAGTTATTAGTTATATCCAACTTAATTTTATTAAAATGTTTTCTTTCTCTGACTTTTATTTTCGATACATTTGTGTGTGTATTTAAATGGATAGATTTCAAACAACAACGCTCCCTATCACAGTACCACTAACATCGACGAGTTTTTCCAGGCGGAGACCGCCACCGCCTGGTTCAGCGTTGCCCATAATATCATCACTTACATCATCAACATTATCAAACCAGTCAAATAATAGTCAACCATTGGATACGCAAATATCTCCAGTCACACTGGCGGCGCCGAGACCCGAAACAGAGCGGCTCGCAAACGAGTATGTGGAAACGCCTATCCGAACACCAAAATTGGTGTCACGACTTCAGCATGCCGGAGTACATTCGACGCATCGGTAAGTGCATAGTAACATTTCGTTTCTTTATAAAAAAAAAAAAATGTTGTTTGTTCCCTCAATACGAATATGCCCGTCATTAATTTGTGTCATCAATCTTTTCTTTTCATATCATAATTAATAAAAACAGAGACTCAGCGGTTGTTTCAACTCATCAAACCACGCATAATAATCGGAATGGCGATCGAACGGCAATTAATAGCGGTGACAAGCATCCAGCAAATACGATTGCATCGGTAACAACGGGTCAGTTGACCGATGTGAAAACGCATCCATTTGTTGGTGGTCGAACGGCAAATACAACAGCGGTGGCCGATTGCTCAAATTTGGGCCGTGCACGAAATTCGATCATTGACTTTGCCATTTTCCAACATGAACTACGTGACAGCCGACATGGTGATAAAGCCATTCGTTGTACAGACATTCCTACTGCGATGCGAGCAAATTCAAATAGGTGCGAACGTGTTAGCAATGTTTTACCGATAACAGCGATCACAAAGCAACCGTTGCCGTTTTCAAAAGACTCATCTACGGCCGGCTTACACGATGACATTGATATTCATCCGGCAAATGGTGAAACACCAAATTCGATAACATGTCCACAATGTAAGCGTTGTCGATGTGAAGAGTGCCAAAGGCCGAGACAGCTACCATCTCGTTGGGTGTGTGACAATACATGTTTGTGTAGTGCCGAAACGTAAGTTCATATTTCCATTAAACTTAATTTGAACAAAGGTTTTGAAAAAAAAAGATAGTCAGTTTGTCATGTACACAACGACCACTTTAAATTCGTATTGCTCATCATTTTATTTTTGTTCTTCTCTTTTTTTATTGTCTCTTCTCTAATGCAGGATTATCGATAACACATCATGTATGTGCTGTGTAAAAGCCTTGTTTTACCATTGTTCCAAAGACCACGAAATTGAATGCGAAGGCGATAGTATATCGTGTGCGGATGATCCATGCTCATGTCTGCCGCATAAACGAACACAAAGATGGGCATGGTTAAGTGCTCTATCGTTGGCGCTGCCATGTTTATGGTTTTATTGGCCAATGCGCGGTTGCGTTGCCATATGTGCAAAGTGCTATGCTAGACATTCACGGCATGGATGTCGATGTCCTGTGCAAAATTCAAATAAATCTACAGTTAATAATATTAGCAGTAACAACAGTGGTATAAATAGCACACGAACAATTAACCGAACTGGTGATTTAACACCCGAAAAACGTTTGCTCGATTCAAGTCCTGAATTCTAAATTATTACAATTAGTTAAAATAAAAATAATAAAATGAAACAAATGAAACAAAAAAGCATATAAATAAAGAAACAAATTTTAAAGAAGAAAAAAGAAAATGAGAAAAAATATATACAGCAAATACTATTTTATCGAATGGAAAACAAGAAACACATGAAAAGTGGAGACAAGCACAATTTTATCTGAATATATTGAATGAAAGAATCATCGAAGGGAACAAACACAACAACAACAAATAAACAAAACACACAAATTAATAAATTTACGAAATTAAAACCAATTCATCTATACAAAGTAATATATAATATATAAATAAATGATAAATTATATGCGACACTATGCGTCTGTTCCGGGTGGCATGTTGGCGCGTTATTATTTGACGTCACGAGCCGAAATGCTTTCCAGATATAGGCCAAATATAAATATTAAAAATGAAATGGAAAAAAATTAATTGAAATACATATATGTATAGCCAAAGATGTTTTTTAATTATTTAAATACATGGCGAAAAAAACGAGGAAGGAGAAGAGTGAAAGCAGTAGCAGCCGTCACAGAAGACGAAACAAAATAAAATATAGAAAAAACTATAACGTGTGTGTAATATCATTATCGCGGTTGGAAATATATAAATGACACAGAAAAAAAGATACAAACTGAATGAAGTGAAAATGGAATACTAGTTAAAATACATCAGCTTGATTGAAATCGCGATCAAACGACGACCGCATGGATATATAACTAATTAGTTAAATGTTTGCATCGTTTTTTAAAATGTCAAATCAAAATCATAGGCCGATGAAAATTTGTTTTAATTGCTGCATTAAAATGGAAATTTACAATAACTTCAATTCCAAACGACTAGCGAAAAGGTAAAACAAAAAATATTTAAAACAACACAACGCTCTACATTTCAAAGGCGAAAACAATATGCACATTTTCCAATGGAAATCACCTTTTTCTCCAATTCTCCACGTCAAAAGAGACTAACACCCATTCCTGCTATTCGGCGACACAATTTCAATAATATTTTCTTTAAATTAATCCGATCAATTGCATTTTCGCAAAGTGATCGTTTATTTGAATACGAAAATAATTCTTTCGAAATTGTTTGAAATTCCGACACACTTTATTCCATAATCAATCAAAAACAAAACAAATTGTACCAATATTTAATTTAGCGAATCTCTATCATATATTGTATTTCATTGAAATGATCACCTCTTTTATTTGCCGTGTCTTGATTAAATTTCGGTGTATTTGATTAGATTGAAGCATCAAGTATCTGCATGTTATACATAGCAGACACTGTCAGCTTTCATGAATTGGAAACGAGTAAGGAAGATACAGAAGAGAAATGATTGAATTGTAAAATTAAAATAATACACAAATGATGTACATAATTCATCGAATTTTTCTATTCTTTTTTGATGTTTTTTTGTTTGCGATTTCTATGTTGTGTTTTTACACACTCTTCTTTTTTCTTACTCCTCCCAATTCAGCCGCTGGTAGTTCCTGGTAATTATCGATCAATACATTCTTTCAATCAGTAATCCCTTTAATTTATTCCCATTTATTTACGCTTCGCATTTTATAGAGTTGTTTACACTGAAAAGAGTCAATACATTTTTACTTTTTTCTCTGCCATTTAGTTCATTGCCTTATACCAACACTATTGCGGTAATGGACAGGAAGTAAAATTGATTGTTTTGAGAAAACGCATTTTTTAGTGCCGTTCACACAAAAAAGCTTCTGCTTTTTTGTTCATTAACGACAAAAAAGATATGTTTCTAACAGAAAAGTTTTGTTGTTTTAAAATATTTGCTTGTCGAATTTTCCACATGATTCAATCCGCAAACACATCGAAATTAAAATTTTAAAAAAATGTCAAAAAACTTAAAATTCAAAGCCAAGAAAACGAAAATAATTCGAAAGAATTGCGAGTAAATGAATAAAAATAAATCACGAAAAAAATGAATGATATTTCATCAGTATTATCTAGTCTCATAAAAACTCATTCACATATGATTGAACATTGAACACAAATTTATTATTTAAACGACCATACAATTTAGGCCATTTCCCATATCTGAATTTAAAAAAATGGTATTTATCAATTTAATGTACAAACATTTCTGTGTAAATTGTTGGCATTCAAACGGCCCATCGATTGACAGCGTCACTTCACGAAGCAAAAAGAATGGTTATGATGTCGATAAAATATCGATACTGAACCACCGTTGCTCTTGGACTTCTTTGTTATTCGCGTACGTAGGTTTTTCCATGTTTCACGCGTGGTAAAAGTTCGACCAACCATTAGATAGAACACATCATTGCACATTTTGATTGATTTAATTTGAAAATCCGGCATTGAAATGACAACCATATTTTTGATATTAGAAAATTATAAAAAAAAGTGTTGTCATTATACTTTTTTGCTCTATCCAAGAAACGACAACATAACAAAACTCGAGCCGAGCAATCGATTCAAGACCAGTTTTGATAGCTAGTAATCCATCTTAATTATAATACGCTTCCTTTTCTTGTTGTTTTTTCGTTTTGTATTTGTAAAAAATTGTGGCAACGAAAATGATATGGAAAAATTCAAAACTGAATACGACTATAAGAATCAATCAAGCAGTTAGCAAGAAATATTTCAAAAACCATCCATTTAGAAGAATGGGCTTATGTGATTCTATGCTGAATACAATGCTATCGAATGGTTCTAATTTACCGAACAGAACTTTTTGCCTCGCGATCATGTATTTGAATGCCACCAATTCACATAGAATTTTTTGTACATTGAATTGATAAATACCATTTTTTTTATTTGCAGATATGAGATACACCCTATTGTACATTTTTTGTAAACAAAAATTTCATTTAAAGTGTGTGTGTGTGTCTGTCTGTAAACGACCATACATACTCTGAGTAAATTTGTATGAGGATGTGTATTTGCTATTTGTTTCTTTCAGTACATAGCTAAAAAAAAATTAAAAAGAAGAAAACAAAGGAAATAGCACACAAACAAAAAGCAAAGCATCAAGAAGTTAATAAATAAACAGGAAAGAAAAAAATGAAATCGAAACTGTAAATCTTAATTTAAGATTCTACTTGTTTAACGTTCTTTTTTTAATGAAACAAAAATGAAAAATCAATTTAGCCACCAACAAAGACTAGATTTCTTTGAGACACAATAATTTTGTAAAAAAGGCGGAAAAATCGCATTATGCTTATCAATCCAAAACAAGTACATCAAAAACCTGTTCAAACACTCACGCAGCCACACACACACACACACATTTGATTTATTGCTCCTTCTTTTTTTACTTTTTTTTTGTTGTTCGATCAAACGAACTTATGGAGATAGCTTTCAAATTTGAGACTCTATTTCACTAAAAAAAATTACGTCTACCAACAGCCAACACAAAATCTGTTTCTATTTTTCTTTCTCTATCTCTCATTTTTTTCCTCTCGTTCATAAAGTTTTGAGCGACCGAAAACCTCTTTCCGGTTTGAGTTTCTAAATTATTTTGTCCCATTTTTGTGTTGATCTCTCAAGAGATTCTCAAATGTAAGAGAGCCCAAAACGAACTTAACAGATAGAAATATTCACAGAACCATCAAAGCATGTTAAAAACGATTTACGAAAAAAACATAAGAAGAAGAAGAAGAAGCGACAAAACAAAAATAAAATAAAATGAAACCGAATCATAGCTGTTCGATAGCGTTGTAGTGATTAAAAATTCGGAGGATGCATAAAAAAATTGATTTGTTGTAAATGATTGTAAATACTTTGAAACTATGTTATAAATAATTTGTAAAACTAAATGAAATGAAATAAATAAAATAAATGAAAATGATGAAAAAATGCGCTGTATAGGTATATTTTAAGTAACAAAGAAACTGAATGAATAATTTAAATGGAAGAGGGAGAGAGCAAGAAAAAATACGAAAAATCAAAAAATCCCATCAGCCAGAAGTGAACACACAAAACTAGTAGAAAATGTTGTTTAAAAAGAAATGAAGTTAGACAAACGAAGAAAACGAAACGAATCGATTTTGAAGAGAGGAAACACTAACTTCCATGTATTATTATATATCCGATGCTAATAAAAGAAATTAATTGATAACAAACACTAATTAAATTAAATGAAATGCATATTAATAAAATTGAGAAACAAAATAACAGTAATTTAAAAATGAAATTGTTATGATTTTAAAAAGTAAAAATTACACATATTCATAAGAGATAATATAATTATATATATAAAATTAAAGAAAAAACAAATCGATATTTTCATTTTCCATCATTTGTTAGCCCCACCAACGTATCCTGTTTTATCCAGTCTGTCTGTCTGTTCATCGGACGTGTCTTTCGGTTTTCTTCGTTCATTTCATCAGGTAACAATCGAAAACCAATTTAAGATTGAGCATAGTGTGCGTTTCACGCTATTGAATGCAAATCAAATGCTTTCAAAAGCACGTCATTTGCCCGATTTATATCAACACTTCACACTTTGACAATGGAGATTTTGATGACGATTTTCATATTGGTTGTCTATACTGAAGTGTTTCGGTTATAGCAACTACTGTTTTTGTACGATTTTTCTCGATGTTGTTGGTGCTTCTACTTGTTATTTTTCCGTTTCTGTTGTTGTTGTTGTTGTTGGTGTTTTTCGTCTCTCTATTTTCATCTTTCTGTACATTTTTTTATCACGCTTTGGTTTTACGTGCCACAAACAAACGACCGTATATACGTACGTATAAATATATATATTGTGGTAATTTGAAATCTAATTTTAGTCTTTGGCACATGCAAAATGGGCAAAAATAACTACGTCATGTAAGCGAGATGCAGGAGAAAGAGACATCGCATAAGGAAATTCAAAACAGATCGTAAGTATGAAATCGGGAAAATCGAAATGACAACAAATGAGCAAAGAACGAACGTACGAAATGAACGAGAGAGAGACAGAGAAGGCGAAAAAACAAATGAGCAAAGAAATACATTGCAAATGAAAATAAAGAAAAAAGAGAGGCACATTTTTGTGTTAGCAATTTGAATATGAGAGTGTTTGGGCACGAGCGCGCACATTGATATCGCGCGCACTTATTTGCTCGCGTCCGCTGCCCACGAATATACACACGAGCTCATTCAATTGCTGCGACATTAATAAAACCTACGAAAAACTAACTTCTATAAGCATAAGACACAAAATCGTGTGCGTCAAAATGGTTTTTGATGCATTTTAGTAACACATGTATGTGTATAGAAATTGTCATACATCATACTCATTTTGCATATGCTGCGATTTGTTGCCCACATAGGCATACATATTTTCATTGAATTCAAAAAGCGTGTACATTTTTAGCATACATATATAGTTTTGCGATCACAAAAAGAAAGAACTTGATCGAATATTAATCATGACGATACTGTCGAACAATCAGTATTTATGAATTGCAATTAAACAATTTCAATTTTGATGAGATATTCATTTCAGATATAAGCAAATCAATTGACATTGATTCAAATAAATACATAAATCTTGACGTATTTTTTGTTTATTCATTGATTCGCGCACCTAATTGAGAGAGCCAACCGAATGAAAATACTGCAAGTGACAAAATCTGACAGAGGCGCAACCCACTTCAATACCGGTGCGGTTAGTATTACTTGAATCACTGGTTTTCAATATTTTTTGATTTCAATTATCAATACTCAAAATCTATAAAAAATGTCCAATAAATTTTCGTTGCTCTTACATCAACAATCAACGGTCTATTTAAACAAAAAAAAAGAAAACATTTTTTTTTTTCGAATAATTTTTCTTCTTCTTAAATTTCGAACAAAACAAAAATCAAATCACTGATCTTAATTTGTGATCATTAGCAACAATACCTTTGGAGAAAAAAAAAACGATGAGTGTTCAAGTGAAACGGAGGTAAATGAGTAGAAATCGATCTTTTATGGAACATACGTTGAATTTTCAAACAAAAATGCATAATATTGAGGCGTGTACAATGTACATGTCTCAAATATATTTTCAGTTTTCGTTCTCTGATGAGAAACTACTGTTTATGCTCAGCAGTACACTTTACACACGTTTCAATCGAAAGAAAGATGGAAACAGGAGAGAGAGAGAGAGAGAGAGAGAGAGAGAGAGAGAGAGAGAGAGAG